TGCAATGAGGTATTCTTGACCAAAATAACATGTTTTCCAATGGCCAGAACAACAGCTGTTTGTGAACCGGTCGTTGGGGTTTTGTGCGGTCAAATCACTGGAATGATTAGGTGACACTTTGCAACTTCAAAACATGAGAAGTCGCAATTTTATCATTTTTATATTTTTTAAGAAATGGTCTATTGTTCAGGCCCAACTTCTCACACTCTTTGTAGCGCTGAGGGACTTTGGCCGAAGCGACGCGAAAAAGTTCGAGACTAATCGGAAAAAAATTTTCAGCATGACAATTTAGCTATTTTGGGAGAGTGGGTAGCGCATATTTGCACACGACAGGTAAATTGTCACCGGAGTACCCCAAGGGAAAATTAACCGCTGATTAAGCCGCTTCGGGGAGTGGGTAGCGTAAATTTGTCTCGTCGAATCACCTCTCAATAGTCTACCCCAGGAAAACATTGACCGCTAATGTGGCAATGCACACATCGAGAATTCAAAACACGTTGTGACTCATTCAGACCACCTCTCTCCAGTACAGTACTTGTGCGTCTAAATATCTCTTCGAAAACAATCTTTGCAAGGGTATTCAGGTCAAAACATTCCTTTTTTTTATTATTGCTGTTGGATTTCATTCGACCGTGCGTATAAATCTTTCTCCAGACACGGTCATAGTTCTAAACTAAAGTCTAGTTTTTTCGAGCGTTATAAATTTCCCGCTCGTATGCTAATCGGAAACTTCGACAAATTCCTCGTGTGTTCTGAAGCTGTTGCGCCTTTGTTCAAAAATGGCCATATAGGGTAATTTTTCGCTTGTATAACAAAGCCTATCGTTATCAAAGTTGAGCCACTTTTTTTGATAATTTAAAGATAAGAAATGGGCCAATTCTTCTTTAGCTTTTTGTCTAATCAGTAGAGGTATTAGTGTTTTTATTTACCTGCAGTGTACAGCGATAGTCGTGTTTCCTGAATTTTGCTGCCACCTTTGTACCTGGCCAATGAGATCGATCAATCCTGTACCAGACTCTGGGGAGCCGACATCAGGCCAACCAGTGTAATGATACTGACGAACAACTCGCGATGCACTCTCCTAAAGCATTCAGAATACAATTGACGTGTTAAAGAGGTAAACCAAGCCTCCTGAAAATGTGTAACAACTCTCTACAGATTCCAAACCGTACAATGGAATATTCTACTTGAGAATTAAAACGCAATGAACCTGAGATACACTTCGTAAGTGTTTGGAACATATCCTTCCAGACCGGAAATTTGGAAACATGCTTTGATTTAGACAGGCTTCTTCTGCAACCCACTCTGAATGTGTTTCTTCCGCAAAAGAAGTCTCTTTGCCTTATTTCCCAACAACAAACCCCCTCCAAGATTTAGACGTGTTCTATTTCGTGCAATCTGTTTCTGGAAAAATAATGCGATCGCATAGAGACAAATATTTCCTCAAAATTCTCTTCGTCACACAAGGCGAATTGTCCGGACCTTCTGTCCTCGCTATTTGCTGCCTCGTCAAGTCCTCTCGAAGAAAAGCTTCACATTGACTAAAACAACCGACTCTACAAGGGCATTGGTAGTCCTCAACAAACTTGGCTAGTCTAAGGTAGCATAGAAGGTTTTCTGCAACGAAAGTTTTCCTATTGCAGAAATAACAAAAATACACGTCGTTTGGCAGCAGCAACAATACCTTAGTGTTGGTGAGTTTTATCTCTCTCACTGTATAATCTTCATAAACCATTTCATTGGTCATTTCCACAACCAAGGTTCCGATATTCGCGGGCTGGTTGGCAGGCCAATACCGATGTACTTTGACCTAAAAGAAGATAAAGAATTTCACATCTAAAAGTTGAAACAATCTAACCTTAAAACCGATGATTGTTGTTTCTCACGCCAAACTCCCAACATAAACGAAACGAAATCGAACCCAAAGTCGAAGAACAAAACTGGTCGTAAATGTAAAATACCTCCGACGTAGTGATTTTCTCGCTTTAATGAATATGAAAGTATAGCTGTATTCTTCACGGCTTTAAGGGTTTAAATAAAATGCAGTTAACAGCGCCGGTCTATGACCCTTGTAAGACTTCTTACCGCTGCCTAGGTTTTGGATTACGGTCCTTTATCAGGTACAGTCACCTACTGAACCATCAGGAGCCTTTTATGGAAAAAGTTATTGAAGCCATGATTTTCTATTTTCTGAGCTGAAAACTACAAGATTTACTAAGTGCACTTCTGTGCCCTAGAATATTTTTTGGTATAAATTGGAACGAATCTTTGATTAGTACAAACACATGCACAAAGAAGAACTTTTTCACACTAAGACATTTTTCGTGAATCTTATAACTACCATGATCTGATTTTCAATTCTGCCTTCTAGCTGTTCGACATGAAATTGTGAATGACTTTAGAGAAACAGACCTTACAGCTAAAAGACAAAATAACTATATTATATTCATTCTTCTTTTGTGGCCACTTTTCTATGGGTATGTAACAAAATTCTGTAATTTGTAAATATGTTCGGTGATCACCTTGCCACTTTCAGTCTCTTTCGACAACATCACTATAGTGGAGGACT